TAGCCAGGAATTTCAACTTCTAGATCAGAAATGGAGTCGTCCAACCATGCTTCAGAAATTGTAAACACGTCGAAATCGTTGGAAATAACTGTGTCTTTGACTTGTATAAGATGCACTCTATTCTTGATTGATCTCACATTGAGATGAGCGATTTTGATGTTGTTGGTCTTGTTTCTTGTTCGCTGGACAGGKCCAGGATTTACTTCGATATCGTGGACTAGTTTGATTACAGGATAGAAGAAATTAACTCTTGGTACCTTCTCACTGTAAATGAGCACGGAGGGAAAGCTAGAGAGAAATATAAAGGCTAAAAAGCTCAGAGCGAGCAAAAGCCTGACCGCTTCATGGTTATGCATAATTAGAAGATGACAAACTCTTTGTAGTAACARTATTCGTAACTACTGGAAGAGTTCAGGTTCAAGGTCAAAGTTTTGAGCATTGGTCTTCAACAGAATTCCAGCTCCTTTTACGGTTGACTGACCTTCTTCAAAAGCGAGATACAGAACCAACTTCGGATATTGATAACGAAATCAAAGATCTATTATGTCAAAGTCTTTTAAAATCTGATGTTTAGGACGAAAAAAGAAGTGTATCAAGTGAAGAAGACAAACGAGGTGAGTCAAGTGAAGAAGACGAAACTAGCGGTAGCGAGGATGAAGATGATATTGATGATAACAAMTCCGAAGACAAAGGTCAAGATGACAAAGGAATTATCACCGCGTTAGCAGAACTAGAACTTAACTTTTCCAAAACTAAGCTGAATTTAGAGAATGAGCTTAAGTCAATTCATAATTCTCTAGAAGAAGTATTATTTCTTAAAGATCGTGTTGTCCGTGCGGAAAATAATCTAAAAGCCTACGCCGGAAGTATAGATGACAGACAACATCACTGTGAGTTGAATATGGAGGATGTTAACAAGAGGACATCTGATCTAACAAATCAAGTCAAGAAACTCCAAGATCAACGTTCAAGTCTTATTTCTAAACAGTCACAAATTAAGGAAGAGATTGATTCTTTAAAATCGGAAAACTCTAATTTAAAGCAGGAACTTTTTGTCTTGAGAGAAATTGTGCAAAAACACGAGAATGCCTTAGAAAGTTCTATGCCGGAGTCTCATTCTTCTCAACCAACTCAGGCTACAAATAATTATCAGTCAATTCCGGTTCAGCCCATGGGAATAAATCAGTCAAATAATCAACAGGATAAAACTCCATCGTCAAACCCATCAACAAAAAATAATTCTAAACCATTACTTCTTATTGATTCCAATGGAAAGTTCTTACAACCCAAGTTGTTATATCCTGACGAACCCGTTGAAATCAAGAAAACTTACACTTTTCGTCAGTTAAATGATACTTTAGCTGATCTACCATCAGACAATCCTACTTCTGTTATTGTTCACTGTGGAACTAATGATCTGGAATATACGTCGGCAGACTCGGTGGTTCCACAAACAAAAGAAGTGTTAATCTCAATCAAAGAAAAGTTTCCTTTATCACGTATAATTTACTCATCTTTATTACCAAGACAAGACCAGCTGCAGTTTCAAGTGTCAATAGTTAATAAGGAACTTTTTAGCTTTTGTCAGTCTAACGACATCGAATTCATTTCACATATTGATATTAATAAGTCATCTCAATTTTATGACAGTAAACATCTGAATAAGCATGGAGTTAAATTTCTTGCGAAAAGTCTAAAAAGTACACTTTTTAATACTCCAACCAAGAAATCAAGACGCATTCAAAGGCAAAGTTTTCATGGTCATCAACAACCTATTAGTGATCAACCTCAACCTCAACTAATGAATTACCAATTGAACTATAATGGACATCGAAG